TATTTTTTTTAAATATAATAAACTAATTATCAAACGCATTCTCTCTTCATTTGTCTACCGTACCAACCCGGTCACAACAACTGTATAAAGGGAAATGGTCCGATTTAAAAAGAAAGTATGTCGAATGAAAGAAGTATAACGTATATGAAACGTGAAATATAATTATTATTATAAAATTAATTTTGACTACATAGCTCAATTCAATCTATTTTAAATAGTCTATACTAAGGTAAAATAAAAAATAAATCTAAATTGCAAGTACTTTAAATAATATTGCNAAAAATAAATCTAAATTGCAAGTACTTTAAATAATATTGCTATTAATCAAATTTCATTGACATCTTTACATTCTATATGTAGATTAAAATTATTTATAATTTATCATAGGTAAATTCTATATACTCATTAAATAAATAGAATTATATCAATTTTTATTAACTATGAGTATTGACTCTTGAGACAAAATTATATTCTTAAATTTAAACATATACTTCTTTAATATAATTCTTTTTGCACGTAGAATATATTTCAAATTAAATGGACTTGGAACATTTAAATTTAAATAATACTTGTAAAACTAGAATGAATATTGTTTAGGTGAATCTATTAATTAAAATTCATTCATTCATTAAATAATAATATATTAGTTTTCTTATGATGAAAATAAATGTAATATTATTTATCAAATATTTTTTTTAATTATAATAAACCTAACCCAACTTTAAATATTTAATTAATGGTAAATGTCCATTGATAGCTTTTCTTACTGATTACTAAACTTTTTACTAATGTTTTTGTTTTAACGAACTTTGCGGTGGTGGAGTACGCAGAGAAACTTATGAAGATTTTTTTAAGGTTGAATTTTGGTAATATCCTTTCAAGGAGCTGGCGCCTGACACTATGATTATCACAATTCCGCCCTGATAAATTTTGTCAAGCCAGGGAAAACTTTAAAAAATATTGATGTCGATCTCTTAAAAAATATAGTTTTTTAAATAATAAATACTTGATACATTGTTTAAATTACATTTTTGATAAAAAATATAAAGATAATTCAATACAAGTATAATCTTTTACATATAAAAATCAGTCGTAGATTCTAGTGACGAAATCATATTGTTTGAAAATAAATTTTTTTCGTAAATAATTTTATCGACTATACAATACGTAATTTGTAACACATAAATATATATGCAATGTATAAACGAAGAATAATATCATCATTGAATTATTTCAAATATTATTGTAATATTATAATAATAAATGGAATTTTAAGGCAAGTATAAATTTAATTCATCCTTTCATAATACAAACAACCATTTATGTAATAAATCATAAAGAAAGACCAGAAAACTTCCTAGGGATATTTAACTTCATCAACTCAATATTATTCCAACACGAGATCGCCTACTATTTCATTACACTCCTTATAATTTTATCGAAGATAATTATGTTTATTTATATTTTAATAATACTATAAATTATTATATTTGTGGACATTTTTTCATAAAAACTTATTTAGAACTTGATAAGTAACTTTTAATAATAATATTTTATTAATTTATCAAAACCATTCTCATGATTTTTTTTCATAAATTATTCTTAAGAATAATGAATTTCAGTAGTTACCTTATCTGAAGTTATCTGTTTAACTAAATAACACACACATAAAAGTATAATACTTGTTAAAAACATTTTAACTATTTCGAAATATTTTAAAATGAACTTTCAAAATTTTTTTGGTATTTTATCATATTACTTTTCAATATATAATTTTGTAAGAAAACGTGTTTTCCTTTTTTTAGCATTGATTTATTTTTTGATTTAGATAATAAATTATACTAAAATAAATATATTGACCGAATTTGTACGCAATATATCCAATGTTTAATCTACTATTATATTGAAAGGAATTAATTTAAATCGTTTATAAACTAGATAACGATAGATATAAATACCACAAATAATTAATAATGCATGAATTTATTTTAAAATCTAACCACCAGTATTATGTTCATTATTTCTTTATACAATTCGAAAAATATGTATATAAGTATTATTACAGGTGATTCAATAATGACTCATGTAATATCACTAAAAATGTAAATTTAATATCATATTTTCATTTCAGTAGTCAATTGTTTCTACGTCTTAAAATTTTCAAAAAAAAAGGGTACACAGCGCGGTTGTGGCACAGTATGAACAATATGGGACAAGTATAGATGATATCTAAAAGTGATTAAAATCACTTCATAAGAAACGCTTCCATGCAAATCTATAGATAGTGTTTAATTTTAAGAAATTGGTGGATTATTCCAAAAAAATAATTAACCCCTTGTTTTTGTTTTACTATGACTGCCATTTGCACATAGAAAATAGGTTGTCCATATAAATTTTTTTTTTTGAACTTATATTACATAAATCAAGTTTTATTTTAACATATATTTAAAAGACGGAGTATTCCCGGAACATTTTTAAAAGTTAAGTTGAAAAAGTTGAGTTTTGTAAAAAAGTTGCTATTTTGAATCCCCTCATATGGGCTGATAAACAAAAAACTTCAAAACAGTTATATCACATAAAAGGGAAATACATAATATTTCAATACAAATAAAATTTTTTTTATTTATTCATTTTTGAAAAAGTTATGGTAGATTTATAAGAAAATGTCGAAAATTACAAACTTTTAAAATTTTCATTTTTTTGGTGATTTCCCCCATTTACGTTGAACGAGGGAAATTTTTTTAATTAAATACAATTTGTGATTTTTTGACGAATTGTTGAAAGAAATCGGTCCAATGAGTGATGAGAAAAAGTGGCAACAGACTTAAAAAAAAAACACATATCTTGGTAAAATTAATACTTTCTCACCTTTGCATCGAAGTTAAAAAATTGGTCTTATATCCTTTGACCTCCTTACAATTTTATCCATTTAAATTGTTCAAATGAAAATATAATGTTTAACTAGTATACCAGTAATAAAATAATAAATTACTAAGAAATTGACTAATTCATAACAAATGTTGAACCTGTATTTTAAAAAATATTAGCATTTTTATACTATGTAGGCGACAAACACACACACATACACCTAACCGGTGGTAGCAATTTAAAAGTTGAAGATCGATTAAATTATTAGTATAAGATTTCGGTACCAGTTTAATTTGAGACGTCTGACTGGATATCCAGGTAAGTATTAGAATCTAATTATCCATTAGTTTGGTTTGAAATTTAATTTTGTTCGGAAACGCATATAGTATAAAGTTGCATAAGTATCTGTTACGTACTAAGTAGGGATATTATTATTGTAAATATAGATAACGTTCAGTTCCGTTCGAACCGACGAGCGCGTGACCGACTTCCTGTTTAATAAAGTAAATTTTTCAAAATAATTAGTGTTCGTGTTTTAAATTTTTTGTTTAGATACCCGCTCTAAAATCAACATGGTCCTTCGAAAGTGGATTTAATTAAAAAATTAATTAATTAATAATTATAATAATTATAAATAATAAATAAATTAAGTACGTTAGTCGTGTGGTTCGTAAAATTATTAAATTAATCGATATTAGTTGTGACCAAAAAGTGTGTTAAGTGTTAAGTGCAAAAAAGTGTGTAAAATAAATCGTAGGGTTACGAAAATTTACCCGTTATAATTTGCTAAATTTTAAAGTTAATTGTATAAAATTAGACAACGCCGGTTATATTGGTTACGGGAAATTTCCGGCCGTAGTAAAATAACAACAAACTACGGTACAACAATAAGTTTAGTTATCGGAACTCGTTCAGTGAAAAAAAAAAATCGATTAGGTAATAATGAGCATAGCATCAAAGACAGCATCGCTCGTTATACAGAGGGGAATGGAAAAAACGCGGCTCACAAAATTTGTTAACAAAATAAAAGAATGTCAAAGCGATGGAGACATTTTACAGCTCGAACAACGCCAAGAAAAAATGGAAGAAAGTTGGCAAAACTTTCAGAAAATTCAGTCAGTGATCGAAGTGTCAGTAGACAACATCAAACCAGAGATCACGTATAGATGTGAGTTTGAAGATACTTATTTTCAAGCAATGGCCGATTGTGCCAGAATAATAGATAAGCAAGTAAAGGAAAATAATATTGAAAAACAAAGTCTGCAAAATATGGTTCCACCCCTATTAATGTCTGACCTAAGTGGAGAGGGTTCAAATTTAAGAGTTAATGCAGCGCCCTTTAAAAAGTTACCACCGTTAGAGATCCCGGAGTTTAACGGAGAATATAAAAATTGGTCGACTTTTAAGGATCTTTTTGAAACTTTAATAAATTCGGATGAACAAATGCCGGATGTACATAAATTCTTTTATTTAAAAAAAGCTTTAAAGTCAGGTGCTGCTAGAGCCATTCAATCTTACGATATGACAGCAAAAAATTACCATTTAGCATGGAAGTATTTAAATGATCGGTACAATAATACGAAAATTATTGTACAAACTCATACCAAAGCAATCTATGACCTTGATTCTATTATAAAAGTATCAGCTTCGCAACTACGTCGCTTTTTGGATTCATTAACAGGGAACATGAATACTTTAGAGCAATTAGGTTATGATCCCTTGAATTGGGGACCAATGTTATTGCATATTATTACAACGAAATTAGATGTAAAAACGTTGGAAGCCTGGGAAACGGAAGCACCAAAAACTCAAGTAGCTTAAGTTGAGAAATTAATTGAATTTTTAGAAAAAAAATTTCAAGTCCTCAAAGCTATTGAAAGTTCTAAAAAACAACTTGAACTAGGATTTAAAAAATTCAATAGAAAAGGACGTGAACAAGAGGTATTGTCACGTAAGGCAGTTATGCACGCTGCAACAATGAATTTATATTGTTATATGTGTTCAGAAAAACACCCAATTTATAAGTGTGCAAAATTTTTAGCGTTGTCGATACCGGAAAGATACCAGCAGGCTGCCAGGAGTGGTGTTTGCGAGAACTGTCTTTCCCTACAAGCTGAAAATAAATGCAAATTTAAAGGGTGTAAGAAATGTGGTAAATTTCATAATAATTTACTTCATATTGATAGTAAAAATGATGTTGATGATACGCTTAATGTTGTGTCAATACACGCCGCGCAAAGAGCTGGAAAAAATGTGTTGTTGTCCACAGTTGTAACAAAAATATTTGGAAAGACGGAGGAACCGGTTTACGCTCGTGCGTTATTGGACTCAGGTTCAATGTGTAATTTTATCAGCAACGATTTATTAAATAAATTAGGCCTGATACGCAAGCGAGTCAATTATTCAATAGAAGGTGTAAATGCGGCCTCGAGTCAAGCGTCTTATCTAGTAAAAACAATAATACAAACAACAAAAGGTTCATCTCAGTATCCGCTAGAATTCTTAACTTTACCGAAAATTACAAATAAATTGCCCCTGGCACCGGTCGATATGACCGCCTGGAAAGTTCCAGAGGGCATAGATTTAGCCGACCCATCGTTTGCCGTACCAAGTAAGATCGATATTTTGCTTGGTGCTGAAGTATTTTTCGAAGCTCAAAAAACTGGTCAAATTAAACCGTTAGAAAATGTTCCATTGTTTAAAGAAACCGTGTTCGGGTGGATTGTGGCGGGTTCAGTTGAGGAACTCAACACTATTGCACTCTTTTCATACTAGTGTTCGATCAAAAGAAGAGAGAAAATTACAAATTGAAAAATTTTGGAGCTTAGAAGAGTTAATAAGTTCCCCAATCACCCCTGAAGAAAATGAAGTTGACAATGTTGTATTTCATTAAAAATGGTTTGAATTTAATTTTGTTCGGAAACGCATATAGTATAAAGTTGCATAAGTATCAATTGAATTTATATTGAGATCAGACTAGCGACATATTTGAAACAATCCAAGATAAAGTTAGGACTCTAAGACAGATATTTCAGAAAGCTTGTATTTTTCTCTTATTAGAGATTTTTACAGAACTTAAATATACAAAATGATCTAATAAAATTTCTGTTCACTAGGGTTATCTATAAGCAAAAAATCTAACGATAATTTATGTTCTATAAGTAATGAACCTTTTAGTAAAATATCACAATATTTTTGGTAAAAATTTCAATATTGCCATTGCAAAATTTATTCTACGGTGTTTTTTTAAGAATTAGTGTCTATAAGGTAACTTGACTTTACTCATGTAAAATAAATTATCTAAAAAAAAATTTTTATACTTATTTATAATCATAATTAAAAAAACCCAGCACAGGGGGGTCGTGGCACAGTGGTGACGTAGCATAGTTGGATCAAGTATAATGATATCTGACAGTGATTAAAATCACTATCAAAAAAAACGCTTCAATGCAAATTCTTAGAGTGTTTAATTTCAAAAAATTGGTGGATTATTCCAAAAGCTACATGATCTGCTATTTCCTTATTAATATCCTGATTACAATTAAGTATGTTAAATAAAAAATGGATATAAATACTACTTCTCATGAAAAAATTGTATTGATCCATTCATTTTTTAAAAAGTTATAGCATTTAAGAAGTAAAAAATGTAAAATATACAATCGAAAATTTACATACAAAAAAAGCATTTGGTAGCCATTTACACCATGAAGAATTAAAGTCCAACATTTTATTTTTTCATAACAAAAGTACATTGTATTAGCTTCAATTTAAGATATATATAAAAGTGTCAAACTTTTCGGAACATTTTCAAAAGTTATGTTGAAAAAGTTAATTTTTTGTGAAAAAGTTGTTATTTTGAATCCTCTTCTGTGGTCAGGTAAAGGGTCAAATTTATAAAAAAAATACATCAAATGGAAGGCAAAAACATTATGTATCTATAAAAAAAAAATGATATTGATTTGTTCATTTTTAAAAAAGTTATGGCAGTTTTCAGGAAAAAAAATTGTCGAAAATTAGCAATATTTAAATTTGTAATTTTTTTGAAGATTTCCCCTATTTACGGGGAACAAGGGAAATTTTTTTAATTTTTGAGGGTAATGTCTTCGACTAGATACTATTTGTGATCTTTTGACGTATCGTTGAAAGAAATAGGTTCGGTGAGAGCTGAGAAAAAGTGGTAATAAATACAAAAAAAAAAACACTTCATAGTAAAACATCGAAGCTAAAAATTTCGTCACTGATCAAAAAACTTATTGTAATTATTGAAAATAACAGTAGGCTTTTTTTAAGGTTTATTTAGTTTAAATAAACTACTTTTGAAAACATTTAATCAAAACCTTTGACGATATATTTAATTGATAATTTTTTCGTAAAATAAATATTATTATTATTTTTTAGCTTCGATGCGAAGCTGAGAAGGTATTGGTTTTACTATGATGTGTTTTTTTTTTTTTTTGTGTCTGTTACCACTTTTTTTCAGCTCTCACCGAACGGATTTCTTTCAACGATACGTCAAAAGATCACAAATCGTATCTAGTCGAAGACATTACCCTNATTTCTTTCAACGATACGTCAAAAGATCACAAATCGTATCTAGTCGAAGACATTACCCTTCAAAATTGAAAAAATTTCCCTCGTTCCCCGTAAATGGGGGAAACCTCCAAAAAAATTACAAATTTAAAAATCGCTAATTTTCGAAATTTTTTCAATTTCTTTTACTAAAATCTGCCGTAACTTTTTCAAAAATGATCGAATCAATATAATTGTTTTTTTTTATAGATGCTTGATGTCTTTACCTATCATTTGGTATATTTTTTTTGTAAATCTGACACTTAACCTACCCACAGGGGGGGATTTAAAATGACAACTTTTTCACAAAAAATT